AAGCTTATCACTCACTTACTCACAGGTAAGCACTGATGATGATCACTGTATAGTCGAAAGCACTCTGCTACGAAAAATTTCAACAAACTATTTTGCACGAAATACAACATTTGGTACAATTATTCGTACAATCTACTTTGCCAGCTGAAAGATATGGGTACAGTGCGAGAAAACAGAACAGCTAAATGTCTCATGGAATCATCTGATATCCTAGAAAAATAGCCGCGAGGCGCATTCGATTGATGTTATGGTGAAACTAATAAAATACTCATTCGTTAATGGAATGACAGTGAATGTGTGTCTGTTGCGATGAATTATGATACTTTATTCCCAACTAATCAAGTACAGAAATTGAACAAGGAAGGAAGAAATATGATTCCTGTCTCGCAGCCATCCTACTATGTCAAATTATAATAAACATTTGGGCGGCGTGGATCATAACGATTGGTTATCAGAAAAACACCACATATCCATGAAAGAAAAATAATGGTATTGGTGTGTTTCCACTCGAATGGTAGATATGGTCATAGTGAATGTGTTTGTATTGAACAACATGATAGCCATAAAGAATTTCCGAAAAGAAGTAGCATATCCTCATCTCAACAAAAAGGACATGAAGTGGGAACCAGCAGAGGGCGTCCACCTTGTGTCTTGATATCAAGAATCAATATTATCGAAGACAAAAGACATGTTGATATAAAGCATGTTGTGAGCAATATAGAAAAAAAGTGAAGATGTCAGTACAAAATTTTCTCATCGAAACCGAGGACATTTTGCCAAAAATGTAACGTTACACTCTGTATATCTACCTGCTTCAATTAATTCCACTAAGATAATCAGATTTGTAACTGGACAAAAAAATGGAATAGATTTCTTTTTTCGAGATATCTAATTAATTCTCATACCGATATGTTTCATCGGTCTTAATCGAGGACGGCAGTGTTTTTCAACGGTACGAAATATAAGCAAAAATCTCGTGTAACATGGACTTTTCACCTCAAAATACAGCTATATTGAAAAAATGAAATGGAAATTTGAAACGATAATAATTTATGCCTAATTGGGTTTCAAGGGTTGGATTCACTTATTGGAGCAAATTTTTTCCACAAACGTTTACAATGTGTGTCTCATAAATTTCAAAGGAAACCGGTATAGTTATGAGAACGATTCTTTCATTATTTATGCTCATTGTTGTCATCCATGCAGGAATTTGTATTTTTCATCCAAAATATATCTTTTGAAAATAACCACAGGGTAAGTGTCATGAGCAATTCTCAAAATCATAACCATATCCAATGTAACACCAGATATCTTAAGCGTGTTTGTTCGAAGATAATTATTCATGCAAGATATGAAAAATTTGAAGCCATCTATATTCCGAAACCAAACGTTCAGGAAAGCAGTGTCATCGATCGTACAATCCTGCAACTTACAGAACATCGAATCAGATGTCGTTTTGAGGAAAGTGCGGTCTGAGAAACTTGGGAGAAATGATCGGCATAAAGACGATTTAATTGATCTCATTCTAATGCAAAGATCCAGTACAGCCTTTGCACGAATATCTATATACCTGCGAACAGTTAGATATTGTAAAAAAATGCAATGAGAAAACGGTTTTACAGTTGAATGCTACAGATTGTGTAGTGGTAAAACCCTCCTCGACAGATAAAAAGGATTTTATGTTGGGGTCATGAACTCTATTTTTTGGAAAATTCGAACAAATAGCTGATATTTTCTGCAGTTGTCACAGATTTCACTTCCCCATAGCATATATCGTGCACACTTTTACTAGATAATATGCAATGATATCGAAAAATCCAGAATAGATGATGTTTCTCAAAAACATAAAAAAGAGATTATGGCAGCATGCATACATCTTACTAATATTAGCCAAGTTATTATTTGGGTTGAACACGTCATCGTACTCTTGGGTTCAGGAAAGAAACCTGAAGAAACCGAAATATCCTTCAATGAGCTATTGAAGCTATCTTCTGATCATCAAGCACTAGATCTATATGGAAATGGGAAATTTGAAATGACGTCCCAGCAACCAGAAGCCGAAGAGCAACCTATGTCTACAGTTCCTTTGATAGGATGTTCTCTGAAAAATTTGAGTCGAATTCTTCAGGAAATTCATCTTCAGACAGCCAAACATGTGATAATCCATACTTCAATACGCAATTCTTGAGGTTGATATTGGAAAAATATCTGCCAATTGCATCACTTTCAACCAGAATACTATATCACTCGAAACCAAAGTTCTCATGTGAGTTTCAGCAGAGCAAATATTGAGAACTGGTTTGCACTAGTGAAAAACCAACTTTGTAATGGGTTTGAGAATCAAAACTGCAGCAGAGTTATCCGAACTTCACGTGAACAGATAGTGTCGATTTACTAAGAAATTTTGTTGGAAATTCCAAAGTATGGTTTGACATCAAGGACAAAATCGAAAAAAGAAAAATTATCAAGTTAACAGTTGGAGTATCTACAAAAGATAGATTAGAAGAAGAAACAAGTTGCAGAGGATAAAGATTATCATGGAGCTACATTGAAAAAAAACATCCGCCAAATTGATAATGTGACAATTCTGAATGAAAACAGTAGAATGAGTTTGAAAAAATATTATGACGTTTCGGATGATGGCGCAGATTAAGTTCTAAATTTTTCCAGTGGAAAGAGAAAAAAATTGGTGTTGAGGAATTAAATATTATAATTGATGTTCCCCTGGATATAAATGTTTCTTAGAGGACCGTAGGCAGGTAAGCTCAACTCATTTGCTACAACTTGTACAAAAATCAGAACCGTGGTTAGCCTAACGGAGATTACGTCTCGAATCTTCTAATTTCGGATTTGTTTGCATGGCAGCTTTTGGAAAGAGAGTACAATACATCGTTGGGAAGTGACTGCAAAAAAACATGATCCGAATAGAAGCAATTAAACATGGGATCGCTGAGGAGAAATTTGTCGAAACAAATGAACAAATCAATGAATCTGAAGTGAGGACTGTTAGTCTGATAGTTCACGATGAATATCCACTTTAAGCTTGTTCCTCAGATGGACTTATTGAAGATGACGGAATGATCGAAATGAAATGTCCTCTCAATATGAGGTACGATAATCCAGAGAAGGAAATAAAAAACGAAAAGATGGAGTATTTCGATGAAAACTATAATTTGAAGAAATCGCGCATATATTACTACAGATTCAAGGAATTCTCAATATCAGCGGAAAAAATTGGTGTGACTTGTTGATTTGGACATGGGGAGGTTACTACACCACTAGAATTGAGCGTGATACATCTTTTTGTGATGAAATGATGAGAATACTAGTAGAATTTTATCTTGCCAACCTTCTTTTCGAATGAGTTGCTCAGTCTCCTGAGGAATCTGGAATGAAACACTTACTATCAGTAGCTTCCTATCAAGCAACAGAAATGGGTTAGTGAAGAATGGTGAATTCTATCATCTTTGTGTCGATTTACTAAGAAATTTTGTTGGAAATTCCAAAGTATGGTTTGACATCAAGGACAAAATCGAAAGGAGAAAAATTATCAAGTTAACAGTTGGAGTATCTACAAAAGATAGATTAGAAGAAGAAACAAGTTGCAGAGGATACAAATTATCATGGAGCTACATTGAAAAAAAACATCCGCCAAATTGATAATGTGATAATTCTGAATGAAAACAGTAGAATGAGTTTGAAAAAATATTATGACCTTTCGGATGATGGCGCAGATTAGGTTCTGAATTTGTCCAGTGGAAAAAAAAAAAAGTTGGTGTTGAGGAATTAAATATTATAATTGATGTTCCCCTGAATATAAATGTTTCTTAGAGGACCGTAGGCAGGTAAGCTCAACTCATTTGCTACAACTTGTACAAAAATCAGAACCGTGGTTAGCCTAACGGAGATTACGTCTCGAATCTGCTAATTTCGGATTTGTTTGCATGGCAGCTTTTGGAAAGAGAGAACAATACATCGTTGGGAAGTGACTGCAAAAAAACATGATCCGAATGGAAGCAATAAAACATGGGATCGCTGAGGAGGAATTTGTCGAAACATATGAACAAATCAATGAATCTGAAGTGAGGACTGTTAGTCTGATAGTTCACGATAAATATCCATTTTTAGCTTGCTCACCAGATGGACTTATTGAAAATGACGGAATGATAGAAATGAAATGTCCTCTCAATATGAGGTACGATGATCCAGAAAAGGCAATAAAAAATGAAAAGATGAAGTATTTCGATGGAAACTGTAATTTGAAAAAATCGCATATATATTACTACCAGATTCAAGGAATTCTCAATATCAGCGAGAAAAACTGGTGTGACTTGTTCATTTGGACATGGGGAGGTTACTACACCACTAGAATCGAGCGTGATACAGCTCTTTGTGATGAAATGATGAGAATACTAGTAGGATTTCATCTAGCCAACCTTCTTTCTGGATGAGTTGCTCAGTCTCCTGAGGAATCTGGAATGAAACACTTACTATCAGTAG